TAGTTCATCTCTTGTATCCAATCTTTGTATCCAAACCTCAGATTGGTACCTGTGGGTTGCTAGTAGTGTTGATTACTCCTTGTAGTTGATGCTAGTTGGTTTACTTGGTGGAAGATCATATGTTCAGATCCATTATGCATATTAATACCCCTCTGATTATGAACATGAATATGCTTTGTGAGTAGTTACGTTTTTTCCCGAGGACATGGGAGAAGTCTTGCTATAAGTAGTCATGTGAATTTGGTATTCGTTCGATATTTTGATGAGATGTATGTTGTCATCCCTCTAGTGGTGTCATGTGAACGTCGACTACATGACACTTCACCATTGTATGGGCCTAGAGGGAGGCATTGGTAATTAATAAGTAGATGATGGGTTGCTAGAGTGTCAGAAGCTTAAACCCTAGTTTATGCTTTGCTTCGTAAGGGGCTGATTTGGATCCATATGTTTCATGTTATAATTAGGTTTACCTTAATATTCTGTTGTAGTTGCGGATGCTTGCAATAGGGGTTAATCATAAGTGGGATGCTTGTCCAAGTAAGGGCAGTACCCAAGCACTGGTCCACCCACATATCGAATTATCAAAGTACCGAACGCGAATCATATGAACGTGATGAAAATTGGCTTGACGATAATTCCCATGTGTCCTCGGGAGCGCTTTCCTTTATATAAGAGTTTGTCCAGGATTGTCCTTTGCTACAAAAAGGATTGGGCCATCTTGCTACACCTTATTTACTTGCATTACTTGTTACTCGTTACAAATTACCTTATCACAAAACTATCTGTTACCGATAATTTCAGTGTTTGCAGAGAATACCTTTCTAAAAACTACTAATCATTTACTTCTGCTCCTCATTGGGTTCGACACTCTTACTTATTGAAAATGCTACGATAGATCTCCTACCCTTGTGGGTCATCATTGCCAACCCCCCGTTCTTCATCGGGAGGGCTGATCTGGCTCCGGAGGATGGAAATCATCGTCGTCATCATCATCAACCCTTCTCCATCAACAATTTCATGATGCTCACCACCGGGAGTGAGTAATTCCTTCATAGGCTTGCTGGATGGTGATGGAGTTGGATGATATTTGTCATGTAATCGAGTTAATTTGTTAAGGCTTGATCCTTAGTATCTACTATGTTTTGAGATTGATGTTGCTATGACTTTGCTATGCTTAATGCTTGTCAGTAGGGCCCGAGTGCCATGATTTCAGATTTGAGCCTTTTATGTTCTCATGAATATATTTGAGTTCTTGCTCCTATCTTGCAAGTTATATGCACCTATTATGTTTTATGATCCGCATATCTCAAGGTAACAATAATTGGGATTCTTTCCGGTGATTACCATAGTTTGAGGAGTTCATGTATTCACTAAGTACTAATGGTTTGAATCTATTCTCTATCAAAAAGGAGGCCTTAATATCCCTTCGATTTTCTTAGGGACCCCGCTGCCACAGGAGGGTAGGACAAAAGATGTCATGCAAGTTCTTATTGTAAGCACGTATGACTGTATACGAAATACATGCCTACATTACATTGATGAATTGGAGCTATTGTGTATCGCTCTAGGTTGTGAATATTAATGATGAATATCATCCAACACAAATATCCATCGTTGATCTAATGCCTACGCTTTTCTCATATTGATCTTTGCTAAGTTACTTTCGTTGTTGCTGCTATTACAATCACTACAAAACTGCTATTGTTGCTGCTACCATTACTATTGTTATGTAACACCCACGATGCAGCTATATCTCCCACGTGTCGGAGCACGACTTAGAGGCATAACCGCATTGTAGGCATGTCGCAAGAGGGGTAATCTTTACACATCCCATGTACTGAATAAGAAAGAGGTACAGAGTTGGCTTACAATCGCCACTTCACACAATACATGAATATAGCATTACATCATCCAGATACAATCAAGGTCCGACTACGGAACCAAAATAAAAGAAGACCACCCCTAATGCTAGATCCCCGATCGCCCCGACTGGGCTCCACTACTGATCAACTGGAAACAAAACAACACAACGAACACGATCTTCATCGAGCTTCTCCTTGAGCTCGGTTGCGTCACCTGCACGGTGTCATCGGCACCTGCAAACTGGTTTTGGAAGTAAACTATGAGTAACGGGGACTCAGCAATCTCACACCCTCACGATCAAGACTATTTAAGCTTATAGGTAGGCAAAGGTAGTGAGGTGGAGCTGCAGCAAGCACTAGCATATATGGTGGCTAACTTACGCAAATGAGAGCGAGAAGAGAAGCAAAGCACGGTCATGAACTAGAAGTGATCAAGAAGTGATCTTGAAACTACTTACGCAAATGAGAGTGAGAAGAGAAGCAAAGCACGGTCGTGAACTAGAAGTGATCAAGAAGTGATCCTGAAACTACTTACGTTCAAGCATAACTCCAACACCGTGTTCACTTCCCGGACTCCGCCGGAAAGAGACCATCACGACTACACACGCGGTTGATGCATTTTAGTTAAGTGTCAAGTTATCTACAACTGAACATTAACAAATTCCCATCTTCCCATAACCGTGGGCACAACTTTCGAAAGTTCAAAACCCTGCAGGGGTGTCCCAACTTAGCCCATCACAAGCTCTCACGGTCAATGAAGGATATTCCTTCTCCCAGGAAGACCCAATCAGACTTGGAATCCCGGTTACAAGACATTTCGACAATGGTAAAACAAGACCAGCAAAGCCGCCCGAATGTGCCGACAAATCCTGATCGGAGCTGCACATATCTCGTTCTCAGGGCACACCGGATTGTCCAAGGTTCCGATAGGCCAACCCAGAGTTTCCCCTGGTGGCCGCCGATAGCTGACAGGTTGGACCAACACTCAGAGGAGCACTGGCCCGGGGGTTTAAATAAAGATGACCCTTGAGTCTGCAGAACCCAAGGGAAAAAAGCTAGGTGGCAAATGGTAAAACCAATGTTGGGCCTTGCTGGAGGAGTTTTATTCAAGGCGAACTGTCAAGGGGTTCCCATTATAACCCAACCGTGTAAGGAACGCAAAATCAAGGAACATAACACCGGTATGACAGAAACTAGGGCGGCAAGAGTGGAACAAAACACCAGGCATAAGGTCGAGCCTTCCACCCTTTACCAAGTATATAGATGCCTTAATATAAATAAGAGATATTATGATATCCCAACAAAATCCATGTTCCAACAAGGAACAAACTCCAATCTTCACCTGCAACTAGCAACACTATAAGAGCGGCTGAGCAAGGCGGTAACATAGCCAAACAACGGTTTGCTAGGACAAGGTGGGTTAGAGGTTTGACATGGCAATATGGGAGGCATGATGAAGCATGTGGTAGGTATCACGGCATAGGCATAGCAAAAGAGCGAGCAACTAACAAGCAAAGATAGAAGTGATTTCGAGGGTATGGTCATCTTGCCTGAAATCCCGCAAGGAAGAAGAATGAGTCCATGAAGAAGACAAACGGACGTAGTCGAACCAAACCTCACAACTCCGGAACGAAACCGAAGCTAACGAGAGAAGCAACCCGGAAAGAAGCAAACAACAAGGTAAACAACCATCACATAACATGGCATGATGCACAACCAAGTATGATGCATGTCCGATTTAAATATGCATGGCATGGCAAAGGGCACAAACAAAACTACAAGTTAAGTGGAGCTCAATATGCAACGAGTTGCATATTGACGGAACACCACATCAATTATTTAGGTCACTCTCGGTTGGGTACTTAACAATATTAAATGTTGATTAACATGGCAAGAGGTGAAGCATAATAAAACTACTTAAATAGGCAAGTTTAAATGAGGCCGGAGCAACAAACAACAAGTCCGGTAAAACATCATATGCATTAAGCAATTTAATGCAAACAACAATTTTAAACATTTTAAATGTTATTATCATGATGCAGATGACATATGCAAGTATATATGCAATTTTATGAAAAAGTTGACGTGAACATATTATGAAGCATTTGTCATCGTCGTGGAAAGAGAGGGTGCCATGACGACGAATCCAAAGATGATGACACGACAACATATTGGTGATTCGGTAGCTCAAAGGGATACCGGTGCAAAAGGAAGTGGGTGCGAGTGTGTCATGAAAGAAGATGGGGTGCTCCCGAATACCGGGTTCCCACAAGTTGGCGACAAGGAAACGAGTGACAATTTCAACATGGTGCAAGCATGTGTATCTCAAACATCGCAAGCATTCGTTCACGGACGTCGTCTCGAGGTTATACCTTCAAAGCGTGCAAACGGGACAGTTATCATGACGGCGGTAGTGGAAGTAGTCGTTCTCGCATGCTCTAGGGTCGACGGTAGAGGTTCTCGCGATCTCGGCGACGGTAGTGGTACATGTTTATCGTTGCATGAGTTTTCATAGATGTTCATGTCATCGGTGTCGTGGTACTTTGGATCTTCGAACTTTCCGGTCCCGTTCTTGCGACGGTAGTCGTTCACATTCGTTCGCAGAGGTACTTGATGACTCCAAGTCCTTCGGGCAAAAAGCACGTCGACGGTAGTCGTTCTAGGTAGGAAACGGTAGCTAAACACAGTTCGTAGATGTTCATGTCGCTGTAGTGGTACTTGGTGAATCCCGAAATGATCTTGGCGTCTTCGCGCGTAGGGGTACTTGCTCGTTTACTCCACGGTCTTGGCGGATCCACGCGATGGTAGTGGTACTCGCGAAGAGGTACTCGGCGGTCGTCGTGTAGACGTTCGCGGGGTCTTGACGACTGTAGTTGTACATGGGTCTTCGGCGACGGTAGTCGTTCTAGGTATTGGGCGTCGAGGTACTTGCCGTCCAAGAGGGCTCCAGGATACTTGACGAAATCCACATCGGATGTAGTCGTTCAAATTAGAAGACGGACTTGGCACGACCAAAATCTTGAAGGTACATCGTGAATAGGAGGCCAAGGCAGGGTACATCGACTGCAAGAGGAGCCAGGGTTCCTGCCTGCCATGACGGCTTTGCGAGAGGATGAGAAGCAGTGGTGGTCAACACCCATGGCGGTTCAAGGCGCGGTGCAGGACTGCAGGCCGACGCTGCTGGCGATCTGGGGACGCCGGGACCCCAAGCAGAGGAGCAGGTGCTTCTCCGGCGACGCATCGGTGCAGGGAACGAAAAGAAACGCACGGGCAGGAGGAAGGCCATGGAAGACGAGGGGCTTGAGCAGCAGCAAGAGGAGAGGCGGAGGCGAAGCAGGGAGGCGGAGCTCCTACAAAATGGCGGCGGCGCGGCTGATTGCTGGTGGTAGGTAGCCCCGGCAACGACGAGTTGCAGGAGGCCGGCCTTGAAGCGCCATTTCTCGAGGCGAGGAGCAGGGGACGATGCCGATGAAGGGGAGGCCGGAGGTGGCGCTGGCCTGCGGCGGCCGCAAGGGAACGATCTTGGCAGGCCGGAGGTGGAGACGGGGCCCTGACGGCGGTGTCCGGCTGGGACCGGGCAAGGGCGGCGCAGGCGGCCTGAACTGGAGGCGCAGGCGGCCTCGCGCAAGGAGGATGACGGCGGATCAAGAGGTCCTCCTGATCGGGACGAGGAGGAGGGGGCACATCGCGAGGAGGACGAGGGGGTCAAGGAAGAGAAGGGTGCTGCAAGGGAGCACTAGGGGATCGGGCAAGAGAGCGATGGGGATCGAGGGGATATGGCGGCGCTGCGGGAACAAGAGGGAGATGAGTGCGGTGCAGGAGCTGGGCTTCGGGCCATCTAGGTCAGGCCGCATGGTATAGTTAGGTGGGCCTTAGGGGCTGGTTGGACTGCGGGGAAAAGATGGGCCTGGATTCTCTTCTCCCTCTCTCTCTCTAAAACCTATCACTTTAACAAAAAAGAAATTAGAGAGAGGGAAAGAAAGAGAGGGTTAGGAACAGATTTTGAGCATGGGGATAATTTTCCTGAACTCACAAAAATATGCTTGTTCCGAGAAAATTAGAAAAGGCCAGATCGAACGATAAGAATTCAAACTCATTTGAATTTAATTCAAATGGGTTTGAACTAGGACGAGGTTTTTTTGGAGTGATCAAAAATGTTGAAAGTTTAGGTGGAGCTCCGGAAAATGACAAAAGGATATAAGGAAAGGTTAGAGAGTCAACAACTTGAAGAAGAAAAGGCCGAGGGATTTAATATGCAAGTGTGTTAAGGTGAATTCCAAATAAATGGAATATTTAATATAGATCCCTAATATCGGGAGGATATGTTATAAAGAGAATCACCATATGAATTCCCTCGGTTTAAATGGACTGAAAATCCACACGGTTTATTTATTTGTGTTGCAAAAGATTTATGAGATGATGACATGATGACATGATGCAATGCACATGATGCAAAGATGAATGCAAAGAACCAAACAATTCACATGACGAAACCCGGAAACCCTGGAAGGCATCTGAAGCTCCGGTCTTGGGGCGTTACAACACTCCACCACTACGAGAGGATCTCGTCCCGAGATCTAGAATGGCAACGAAGAGAAACGGAAGAGGAAGAGAAGAGGTAAAACTAAGTTTCTTCTTGACAATTGAGTGAAACCAAAGAACCTTGAGAGGTTGAACAAAACGAAAGAAAGAATACAATGAAGATGAACAAAGTCAAAAACACTCCGTTAGAAAATAGGAACAAGGAACAGTACTAGAACGTTGCAGGTTGAAAGACATAAGAAAAAGATTGCAATGGACAAGAAGTACAGCAAGCACTCTGGTTGAAACGAGATGTACAAGAAACGATAACGATTAATTACGACAACACTCTGGTTGGAAATGGAAGGTAAGAATATGAACTTGGCAAAATGAGAGGATACTTGAAAAGAGGATACGACGCTCCGGTTAAAAGGATAAGCACGAAAAGAACACGAACCTCACCATTCGAGATGATGATTGAAAAGAGCAACATTACAATGCCTCTGGGAGAAATGAAAGAATGGAATGAATGAACGGAGGGAAACACGATCTTGGGAGAGCATGCTTACGACAAATGCTGGAACGGAGTCGTTATATTATCAACAACGAAAGGATAAGCTTTAAGTGGGCTTATGGAGAACATCTCAAAACTGAGGTGAAATTCTGCCACTAACGAAAACGAAAGATTTGATTGAGGTCAACAAGGAGATGAGAAAACTATTTCACCAGGAGGATAAATGAATAACTTGGGTCATTTATAAGCACCATAATAGCAACAATCCTTAGGGAAGGCTTAAGGTGAAATATAACCCAAGATAACTCCAAAGAAGAGAAAGATTGGTTGAAAAGATGTCTTGAGCGAAGAGAAAATGATGGTTTTAGATGTGTCACTCTTGAAAACTTGCGAATCATGAAACATGAAGGAAAATTATCAATAATGACATAACACCACCTCAAAAGATGAGATATGAAAGAATTGCACTTTGGAATGCAAGATGAAGAATCCTTGAGCTCCTCTTGGCGAACACTTCGAGAACGAATTAAATCCTTGCTGAACCACCATGTTGAGCCTCCATGAAGAACTCCGGTAAAAGAATGATCAAATGAAAGTAAAGAGAAGTTGAAAACACAAGGTGAAGCCTTGTTATGATATATATGGATCTTCGCGATGATATAATCGAGAAAACTTGGAACTCCGTAAAAGAAATGTGAGCACTTGAAACCAAGAATTTTGATGAACCTCCGGAATAAGGAATTAAATTTACTCGATGAAACAAAAATAAGAATTACATTATGCTTATCCTTCACCAATTTAAATTGATGACAAGCAACAGATTTGGCATACTACTTATTCTCGTAGAAAGGATTAAGATAGATATAGCACAAACTTGAGAAGGTCTTCTGCGAACCACTGGTAGGATTGGAAAGAACGAATGAATTGATATGAAAATGAAGGAAGAAGAAACTTGGAAGAACCACTGTAAGAATTGAAAATGAACGTAGCAAAGGGGTGAATCACCGGTAAGAATTAACAATTGAATGAAGATACATGAGGGGGGATTTGATACATGAGGACGAATAGATCACAAACTTAATAGAGAATATTTGAATGATTCACCGATAAGATTTGGAGAATGAGAGCTGAAAGCTGAAATGAATAATTCTTCTGAGATGATAGACTCCGGAGAGTCAAACTGAAAAAATACTCCTGAATTGCTCCGGATGGGTGAAAAGAATTCTCACAATCGAAAACAATTATGAGAGGATGGCATCAAACTAGAATCATGAATCTTTGAGAGAATAGATAAGATTTAAGAGAAACTCTTCTTCGGTCTTCAAATCCGAGAATGACGACAAGAAAACACCACAAAGAATTGTTTAGACACTTCGGGAGAATCAAAAGCGAAGAGGTTGAGCCAACGATGAAAAGAATTTGACCGATCTTAGAGAAATACATGTGACTGATGATAATTCATTCTTACGTCAACTTTGAAAGAATTTCAGGATAGCTCCGGGAAAATTAGAAGAGTCAGGGAAGATCCTGAAAAAAGACCTGTGGGTTAGGGCCCACTCAAAAGAAACACCGTTGAACGATTTGAAAGAGAGATTGCGCCGGTTGAATTAAATGGCTTGAATGAGATAACATCCTTGAAAGAGCTTGAACGAAAACAGAGTGGAAACACGAATCTTCGAGATATCTTCAGTACTCCAGAACAATTGAATAGCGAGAAGTGGATGATTAAGAGGTGCACCGGCATGAGAAAACATTTGAAACAAGTAAAGGAATATGATTAACACTAAAAGCTTGAATTTAATCCGCCGGAGAAGAAAAACAAACGAAGAATGATGAACTTGTAGAGCATCTTCATGAGAACCACCGGGTAAGAACATTGATTGAAAAGGATGAAGAGACTTCACAACAATAAAAGGATACTTGATTAAGAACTCTGAGTCTTTAAAGAAAAAGGGTGGGAGGGTGGGTAAAACAAAGACAACTTGGAGACAGATGAAACAAACACCATTGAGAAAAAGCTTAGAATTGAACTTGCGGATGTTGAAATGATAGGATCATCTTGAAGAGAATCACACCGGTTGAATAGAATTGACATGACAATCTGAATTTTCATGAAGGATTGGTATTCACATAGGAGTATGAGAACACCATTTGGGGAAGGTATGGAATCAACACTTGACATTGAAGCAACTCAAATACCACAACTCAAAACAAAACAAGGATTGGCTTGCAAAATAAGCTAGAACAAACATATGATAGAGATTTCGTCCGAAGTTTTCGTGGTGGGGCCCACACGGGCTCGATCGTACAACACCATCATGTACAAGGTAGTGCACATGACATACAAAGTGTCCCCGAGTCAGCATAGCCAAGGACTCTTTAAGACACAACGAGACCACTGTAAAACCAACCGTGGATAGGCGGACCACTAGACGTCGAACCCCAATTTCATATCATACATCTGTTGGAAAGATATCCTAGGAGCTACTTGAATTCCCACTTATAAACTCCCGAAACTTTCTGGTTATGCAATCAGGTGTTGAGGATACAGGGGAAGCATAATATCTCACCCAAACTAACAAATCCTACATCCAGCTGTATCCATCCTTCAACACATAACCAAGAAACCTTCGGAAATCATTTACCTCAACCTTCGAAAAGCATCCGTTATATGAGTTATGGAAATACTCCCGAACTCCCGCCCTAGTACTGGGTGGCGTCGAGGTTATCTCACCAACAACTTCATAAAAGAGATTTTCGATGTCGGCGAAACTCAGGTATTCCAGAACTGCAACAATAAAATTGTGACAACAACACCTCGGAGCTCAACTCCCCGGGACACTGCCACAACCCCTAAATGTCAGGAGGCACCAAGAACAATGTTCTCGTCACAAAACCATCAGAACGATTCCAAGATACCCGCGTGATCCTAAAAAAAATTATTGAAAATTTGAGAAGAGAAGAGTCAAAACTCTACGTCAGGATGCCTCACCAGAGCGATGAAGGGACTGAGGAGTAAAAAGTATCCTCAGTAGGGGGCTCCTAAGTATAAGACTACTCTCCGATATATATAATCCTATAAGACTCAAAACATTTTTCTAGACTCAACAACGCCAACGATTCGATCAAGCAGGGGGCTCCTAAGTCGGGGAAGGCTCTGATACCAACTTGTAACACCCACGATGTGGCTATATCTCCCACGTGTCGGAGCACGGCTTAGAGGCATAACCGCATTCTAGGCATGTTGTAAGAGGGGTAATCTTTACACATCCCATGTACTGAATAAGAAAGAGGTACGGAGTTGGCTTACAATTGCCACTTCACACAATACATGAATATAACATTACATCATCCAGATACAATCAAGGTCCGACTACGGAACCAAAATAAAAGAAGACCACCCCTAATGCTAGATCCCCGATCGCCCTGACTGGGCTCCACTACTGATCAATTGGAAACGAAACAACACAACAAACACGATCTTCATCGAGCTCCTCCTTGAGCTCGGTTGCGTCACCTGCACGGTGTCATCGGCTCCTGCAAACTGGTTTTGGAAGTAAACTGTGAGTCACGGGGACTCAGCAATTTCACACCCTCGCGATCAAGACTATTTAAGCTTATAGGTAGGCAAAGGTAGTGAGGTGGAGCTGCAGCAAGCACTAGCATATATGGTGGCTAACTTACGCAAATGAGAGCGAGAAGAGA